CATAAAATATATATTTTTAAATAATTAAAATTAAAATGACAAAATTTATAAAAATATCTAAGGTTATCTTACATAACCTAAAAAAAATGAAGGGAATCACATTCCCTTCAAAATCCTATGTGGAGGGAATGTTTCATTTCCTAGGAATGTTATATTCCCTCAGATAATATGGACCAAACAAATGAATGTAAGCTCTGGAATGTTACATTCCCTTGGTTATATAATATAACCTGAACCAAACGGGCCCTAAGTTTTTAGCTATTGGAAGGAAATGTGAGATACCCACCAATTTCTTAGGTAATCTCACATTCCCTTGTCTTATTACTCATGTTGGGTTTTGTATTTTTAAATCAATTTATCTTATTACTATTGTGTTATTTACATATCTTAGTTTTAAACAGTTTTAAACTAAACACAATATAACATTCCCAGTAATGTAACATTCCCAGCAATCTAACATTTCTAGAGATAATTTAACATTCCGTGAACCAGATGCACCTAAATATCAATGTACATAAAAGGATTTGTTCATATTAGGACTCTATTATCCATATTAGACTAGGACTATATTATTTGGGTTAGACTAGGATTCTATCTAGCATCTCTATATATTCGCCCCATTGTACTCTCAAACATTATCATTGAATACAGAAAATATATTCTCATCTGGTATCAGCTAGGTTTTTCCATGAAAAATATCGGTGTTAATGACGGCTCTGTTCTTGGTTCATCTGAACGGACTGTTATCGAGATTCCTACGATGCCTGCAAGTGGTAGCCTCTCATCGGCTCATCACTTTGTTTCGTTAAAGTTGACCTCCCGGAATTATCTATTCTGGCGGACTCAAATGCTTCCGTTTCTTGAAGGCCAAGGGCTTCTAGGGTTTATTGATGGTTATACACCCTTTTCGACAGTATCACCGGCGCTGGCATCAACCGCGGACAGCGTCCCGGCGGTGGTTTCTGATCTCCCAACACGGCAGCTCGTGTGGCGCCGGCAAGACAAAGTCATCCTCTCCATGCTCATCTCCTCTTTATCCGAGGAGACTCTTCGCTTCACCGTCGGCAAGGGCACCTCGCGGTAGCTTTGGCAGGTAATCGAACAAACCCTAGGTTCGTCTACCCGCTCTCGTGCGCTCCGGCTTCTCGACGAACTTCAGGGGCTCCGTCAAGATGATTCCTCCATATCTGATTACCTTGGTCGTGCCCAGATGTTGATTGATGAATTGGCTCTCGCTGATCATCATGTTGAGTTGGATGATCAGAGCTTATACGTGTTTTGTGGTTTACGCCCGGAGTTCTGACCATTGGTGGCAACCCTAGCCCGTGGTGCTCCTCCCCCCCCCCCCCCCCCCCCCCCCGGAGGTTGCAGATTTTCTTGTTTCGCAGGAGTGGATCTGTTCGGATGACGGCGCGACTCTTGGCGCACCAGCAGCCTTGGCCGTGAGTTGTGGAGGACACGGTGGTCGCGACGACAGTCCGCAAAACCGAGGAGGTGGCGGCCGCAGAAAAGGGCGCGATGGCCGTAGCCGGGGGCGGTCCAACTCGGGCCCTCGGTGTCAACTTTGCAACAAGCAAGGGCATATAGCTACGACATGTTGGCATCGTTTCAATCCAAATCCGGATCCTCAGGCGAATGTCGTCGTTTCTGGTGTTGAAGGTTCTATGGATGACTCTCATCAGTGATTTCCCGACATTGGGGCCACAAATCATGCCACTCCTGATCCCACCTTATTGACGTCATCTACTACGTATAATGGTCCATAGACACTTCGGGTCAGCAATGATACAAGTTTGCCTATTGTTACTGTTGGTTCTACTTCGTCAGCCACTGATTCTAGGTCGTTTCGTATGTCTGATGTCTTGCATGTTCCTGGTTTATCTTCTTCGTTATTATCTGTTCAGCGTTTTGCTAAAGAAAATAATGTCTTTTTTTAGTTTCACCCTTCGTGTTTCTTTGTGAAGGACATTACAACCAGGAACACTCTGTTTAAGGGGCATGCGTCTGGGGGTTTATATGTCTGGCCTGCCTCGTGTCCGGCTTCCGCTGCTTTTGTTGCTGCACAATCCTCTTTAGTTTGGCATATGCGACTTGGGCATCCACACTCTCGGGTCTTGCGTCAAATTTTAGGCTCGTCCAGTCTTAGTTCTTTTAATCCCAGTGATTTGCCCAATATTTGTTCCTCTTGTCAATTGGGCAAGTCGTCTCGTTTTCCTTTATCGCGTGCTGAATCTACTAGTTCGCATCCTTTAGAATTAATATATTCGGATATTTGGGGCCCTGCGCCGATACTTTCTGCAAATGGCTTTAAATATTTTGTATTATTTGTGGATGATTACACTCGTTACATGTGGTATTATCCTATGCGGGTTAAGTCTGATTTATATGCGATATTTGATAAGTTTCGGTCACTTGTTGAACGTTCATTCTCTCGTAAAATTCTATCTTTTCAGTCTGATTTAGGGGGAGAATACAAAAAGCTTGGTTCGACTCTCGCGTCGTTAGGTATTCGTCATAGGTAGTCTTATGCGTATACTCATGAACAAAACGGCAGAGTAGAACGCAAGCATCGCCATATTGTCGAAACAGGACTGGTGCTAATGGCCCAGTCCTCTGTTCCGTCTCGTTTCTGGGATTATGCGTTCGAAACTACTGTGTATCTCATTAATAAAATGCCCACTCGTGTCTTATCTGATAAATCTCCTCATTATTTCTTGCATCGATCTCCTCCCTCTTATTCATATTTGCGTGTTTTTGAGTGTCTATGTTTTCCTAACCAGCGTCCCTATAATCGCAGCAAACTACAGTTTCGGTCGTCTCCTTGTGTCTTTTTAGGATATCCCCCATCTTTTCGTAGCTATCGTTGTTTAAACACTAACACTAACAAGGTTTTTATCTGTCGTCATGTGCGATTCGATGAGACTGTCTTTCCTTTTGTTGCTTCTGTTGACTCGTAGGTACCCACACCACGCCCGGAGCCATGAGGTGTTGCGCCGGTTGTGTCTCGTGATAAGCCGAGTACTGTCTCGGCCTTTGATCAACCTGCTGTGCCCGTAGCCAGGTCCGACCAGCACCGCGATCAGCCCGCCTCTGCCGAGCCGTCTGTGACCGAGTCCGAGCGGACAGTCACGAACCAGCCACCCGCTCGGCCGAGAGGTCGACCCCGTGGTCGATCTCGTCCCGTTATCTCACCCGTTCGGTCTCATGAGATGAATACGTGGAGCTCGGGGCCGCATGATCATGTTGCTCTATCCACTGATGTCACTACTGAGCCTACATATTTTACTCAAGCGGTCAAATTTCCCGAATGGCGGGATGCAATGGATTTGGAATTTAATGCCTTGGTGCACAACAATACATGGTGGCTCGTTCCTTTTAAATCAGGTATGAATGTGGTTGGCTGCAAATGGGTGTTTAGAACTAAGAGAAAAGCTGATAGTTCGGTTGAGTGTTACAAGGCTCGATTAGTTGCCAAGGGACTCAATCAGGTTGCCGGTGAGGATTTCTTTGAGACTTTTAGTCTCGTGGTTAAACCGACTACAATACGTCTTCTCTTATCCTTAGCTATTTCTCGTGGATGGACTATTCGACAGTTAGACATTCACAATGCTTTCCTAAATGGCAATCTTCCTGAGACGGTTTATATGCGCCAGCCCCCAGGCTATGAAGACAAAACGATGCCCGGGCACGTTTGTCTCCTTCAACGTTCTTTGTATGGGCTTAAGCAAGCTCCCCGCGCCTGGTTCACACGTTTGCATGGTTTTCTGATTTCTGTTAGTTTCTCACCTTCCAAAACTGATGTATCTTTGTTTATATATTCACGTGGCAATACTCGTCTATATTTTCTGGTTTATGTGGATGATATTTTAGTCATGGGTTCTGATTCGGCTCTTGTGACTGATCTTATTGGCAAGTTGGCTCTTGAATTTAAAGTTCGTGATATGGAGTGTCCTCGTTTTTTCTGGGTATTGAGACTGTTCCGTTGTCTAGTGGCATGCTTCTGTCTCAACAACGGTACATGAAAGATATTTTAAAACGAGCAGGTATGGTTGATTGCAAGCCCGTGGCCACTCCGGTTTCAACCGCGAAGGCCGAGACCGGTGACGTGGTGCCATATGCTGATCCCACTCAGTATCGTAGCTTTGCAGGTGCTCTGCAATATCTTACGGTAACTCGTCCTGATCTTTCTTATGCAGTCAATCGTTTGTGTCAGCACATGCACTCTCCCTCTACTGCGGATTAGGCGGCTCTCAAGAGGGTGTCACGGTATGTAAATGGGACACTACATCTCGGTTTTAAAATTACTCCTTCTTCCTCTCTGGACATTCATACATGTTCTTATTCGGATTGGGCTGGCAATCCTGATGATCGAAAATCTACTAGTGGTTTTGCTGTGTTTTTGGGGCCCAATCTTGTCTCATGGATTTGTCGAAAGCAGCGTACTGTGACTCGTTCCTCCACTGAGGCTGAATACAAAGGACTCGCTGATGTTTCTGCAGAGGTTACTTGGCTTGTCTCTCTGATGAAGGAACTGCAGAGGTTACTTGGCTTGTCTCTTAATCTGAGAGCTACTTATCTATATGATAATCCGGTGTTTCATGCTCGCACCAAGCGCATCAAGATCGACTACCACTTTGTTCGCGATAAAGTAGCAAAGAAGGAATTACAAGTCAATTTTATTTCTACCAAAGATCAGATAGCAGATATTTTTACTAAGTCTCTTTCGTTTCTACGTTTTAATTTTCTCCGTTCCAAGCTCAATGTTTTGGGTAGCCAACCTTGTGCTTGATGGAGAGTATTAAAGTATTAGGATCCATATTAGACTAGACTATATTATTCAAGTTAAACTAGAATTCTATCTAGCATCTCTATATATTCGCTCCTATACTCTCAAACATTATCATTGAATACAAAAAATATATTCTCATCATTCACACTATCACAATTTATCTTTTCTTTTAAATATTACCTACTAACTATTAAGTCCCGTGCGGGCTAATTCCTCCATCCGATCCTACACTACTGTTTGTATCTGTAGGCAGTAGGCTGTACCCAAATTCTTCCCCTCGATCATTGATGGTGGTGTGGTGTGGTGTGGGTGGAGCTTTATGTAATCCCATTATCCCTTCCATCTTCTTCTTTCTCCTAATATTCCTGTTCCACCCTCTCTCTCTCTCTCTCTCTCTCTCTCTCTCTCTCTCTCTCTCCACCATATACTTGATATACGTCATTGTCAATTGCTTCACCTTCTCCTTTTTGTCTATTTGCTCTCATATTCCTCCAACTCTTTTTTTGTGATTTTCAACTTCAAAAGGAGAAGTGATTTTCCTCATTATGTGATCCCCGTTCAGTATTAGTAGTAATAAAGTCTGGGTTTTTTTTTTCTTGGAATTTTGGAAAGAAGAATTTTGTATTACGATGGGTAACTCCGGGAGCAGCGGCCGGCGGAGGAGCGGCAGCAGTGGGAGGGACCACCAGTCTGCGCCTCCACCGCAGGCGGCGGAGGCGGAGGTCAGCTCCAACCGCTACCTCTTTGCGGCGGCGACGCCTTTCCCTCCCCAATACCAAAACCCCAACGCTCCGCCGTATTACCCGTTCCGCATGGACGCGAATTTGGTTAACGGACGGTACCCGTGCGGGCCCGTGATGGCCCCGCCGGCACCTTATGTGGAGCACCAGACAGCCGTGACGATACGAAATGATGTGAATCTGAAGAAGGAGACGCTTCGGATCGAGGCGGACGAGGCCAACCCTGGCAACTACCTCGTTTGTTTCACCTTTGACGCCACCGTTCCAGGAAGGTATGTATCGCTTTATCTCACGTTTCTTCTCATTTCTCTTTAAATTTTGTTTATGCTTGTCCATTGGCCCCACACTTCGACCTCAGAATTAATCGGGCATTTGGTTGGAAGGAAGGGGAATTAGATTGTAATTTCGTGGGGATAGAATAAAAGTAGGAATTCAAATTAGGGTAAAAAGAGAATTTATAGGAATTGGCTGAGCATATTGTGCTCAGTTGGCACCTTTGTGACTTTCCTTGAGGGATCGAACTCTGGTGGTGAGGTATTGATTCTTCTCCCAAAAGGTTGAATCCCTAACCCTAAGGGCATCCCACATCTCGGCCCGACAGAGTATTTGTGAGGACGTAAATCACCGTGACTCGACTCAATGGTTCAGCGGACAGGGCCAAATGTCAATATGCACAAGGAATCTGCCTACTTTGGACATAATTTCCACACTGTTGCCGCCGAGGGTGAGGTATTGATTCTTTGAGCTATAAGAGATGGAAAAAGTATATTGAACATATACTACATTGTAATATATATAATCAATGGATCTAAAACAAAATTTATAAGAATTGAAAGGAAAAGATTAAAATGCCCTTAATAATAATAATATTATCAAGGGTAATGTTGTAATTTCATCTTCTTTTTTTTTTTTCCCTTTCCATTCACCACCTAATTGGAATTCATAGGGAGAGCCATATGAATTTCAATTCCACAAATGGAGGAAATTAAATTTCGTGGAATTGCAATTCTCTCTCACCAAACAATATAAATTCTCTCTCACCAAACAATATAATTGTGCTCCGCAAAGAATTAGTTTACAGTTGAAGCCTACCAAAAAGGTCCTAAGTACAGGATTTAAGCCCATATTGGGTGGGACTTCCACAATGCGGCTGTCAGGATTGATCTTGCATTTTATCCACAATTTATCGCATAGGAACCAATTAAGCTATTCATGCCTGCAAATTTTCTTTATGCTTAATTATGTATTTCTTGTGATTGCTTGAATGTAATATGATATATGAAAGCAATGGCAAAAAGCTTTCAACTTTGTTAATCTGCAGAGGATAATTGTATATTGTATTTAGCTCATTGATACTTATTTCCTTTGGAACTAAATAAATATGCCAAGATTCTCTGTTATCAATGGCCGATTTACAGATTTCACTTTCTCCTTTTACATGCAGCATGACTGTAATCTTCTTTGCGAAAGAAGGTGAAGACTGCATAGTGACTCCTATGATGGAAGCTTTGCTTCCACCAGTGACAGTGCAGTTCCAACGAGGCCTAGCTCAGAAGTTTAGACAGCCATGTGGAACTGGCATTGACCTTTCAATGTTCGAGGAAGCGAAATTGTCGAAGGAAGGCGACATGGATGTATTTCCCCTGGTAATCAAGGCAGAAGCATCCCGAGATAGCCAGAGGGATACGGTGGATGGGTGCACGGTTTCTGGTCAGACAAACTCTCAGATAACTCAGGCAGTGTTTGAGAAGAGCTGCGAGCCTCATGTCAGGATAGTTAAGCAGATTTTGTGGGTGAATGGCATGAGGTATGAGTTGCAGGAGATATACGGGATTGGAAATTCGGTTGATGAAGAAGGTGAGTTCGATGGAAATGATCCCGGGAAGGAATGCGTCATCTGCCTATCTGAACCCCGCGACACTACTGTACTTCCTTGTCGCCACATGGTATGCTTTCAGTCCTCAACATACCCCCTCTTTGTCTGCAAAAAAAATCGAATCTTGAAACTACTGGCACCTCTGTTACCATTCCAATTGATTCTTTGGGCTGATAAAGTATAGAACAGATACTACCTTATAAACACGGGAGAATTTCAAACATTGATTCATTATTTGTTGATGCAGTGTATGTGCAGTGGGTGCGCAAAAGTTTTGAGGTTTCAGACGAACCGATGTCCTATTTGCAGACAGCCAGTCGAGCGTCTCTTGGAGATCAAGATCAGCGCTGATGATGTTGCTGAGGAGTGAAGAGACTCTGAGAGTTGTTGCCACCTCTCTCTGTAAATGCTTTATTCTACTTTCATTTTCCCAGTAACCAGACTGGAAGTCCCAACCATGAGTTTGCAGTTAGAGTTGGATATTCTATTTAGAATCATAATCCCCACCATTTATATGTTAGAGTGAGTATACAGTTTGAGATTGATGTCTAGCTCTGATCTGGTATGGTTGATTGTTTGCTATTTTGAACATTATGATATTCTGTTCAGTTGCAGCTATGTTTGCTCCACTTTGGGGGTTTATCTGATTTTTTGCCAGATAAAATAAGGTGATTTAGTTCATTTGGAAACTGTGTTATTATGTTCAGATGGTGCAACAATGCCCAATCAAATTTTAATTTAAAATATTATATTTTTTCAAAAGTATTATACTTTTTCTACCTTTACGTGAGACCGTCTAACACAAGTTTAGACCTTCTATTAAAGGTAAATATCAACCATATCAATTCTCTTTTTAAAAATAAAATAATATTTACATATTAAAATATGACACAACCATATCAATTCTCTTTTTTTTTAAAAAAAATAAAATAAAATAAAATTTACATATTAAAATATGACAAATGAACCAAATAAATATACAATCACTAAGAGCCCTTTGGTGTAATGAAGCTTTTGACTTCGGAATAATTAGGTTAACTAAGAATGTCATTTTTTAAAACGTAATTAAAAATATGTAAAATTATTTATAGGTAACAAGTTATATATGAAGACAATGACGGGATATTTAATAAATGGTTCGCCCTATGGAGACTCGAATCTCCAAATGGAAAATCTTTTTTTAGAGAACTATTAGTAATATCCTCCCAACTACTAGAAATTTGTTTATAAAGAGAGTTATGTGGATCCAAATTGTGTCATGTGCGGAATAGTTCATGAGGACACTATGCTTTAGTGTTGTGCGATTCTGCAAAAGTCATATGGGAGCAATTCAACCTTCCAATTCCCAATAATATGACAAATATTTTTTATATTTGGTTCAGTGAACTTCTAAATGTTCTAGACTCTAATGAGATAATATATGCAGCAGCAATTTTATATCATATTTGGAGAGTACAGAATGGAGCGGATTGAGCAGCAATTTTATATCATATTTGGAGAGTACGGAATGGAGCGGATTGGGACGCTTTTCTTCCGCAGCCAAGGGGATTACTTGCTAAGGCCACCGCAACCATGCAGGCTTTGCATCGATCTCGGCTGGTTTCCAACGCACAGCCACTAACCGAGCAGCTTGGTACTGCCGATGTACCGCCACTGCCTCACGTACAGCCAGCCGCACCAGCTGTACCGATCACCGTGCCACCACTGAGGATCTGCCGCGTCGACGCCGGGTTCCTCCACGAGACAGGCAAGGCTACGGCTGGAGCAATCCTTCTCGATATGACTGGGGTATGTTTCAGCATTCAGTGCACCTCTCTCGAATTGTTTTCCACCACTTATGGCCGAGGCATTTGCATGCAAGGAAGTCTTGTCATGGTTAAGGAGCAGGGCGAACGGTCTATAGAGTTATACAGGGATTGCCTGATGCTCCAGCGTTACCTTACCTCACCACCATCTACAGTTCGTTCGTACATCGGCTATGCTAATTGATAGCCGCAGAGCAGCTACATCTTCGTTTGATTTCTATTCGTTTAATTTTATTCCTAGATCAAACAATTATTTAGCACATACTTTAGCATCTACAGCTTTCCAACATTCTACTTCTTTGTATTGGAATCTGCTCCCACCTAACACTATTGTAACTTATTTCTAATGGAAATACCACTGATTATTATTTTCAAAAAAAAAAAAAAAAGATAACAAGTTAATTTTTTTTTTTTTTTTAGTAAAGTTATTTCCAATGAACACATTCTAAAGATTACTTCTCCATAAATCTAATTGGATGGTTGGAAAGCAGAAAGCAGCTTCAAAAAGTCAACAATGAAAGAAGCATTGACTCCGCCACACCTTTACTTTATCCCTGACATGACTTGTGCCTTTCTCTTAACCACCAAGTCAATACTCAACAGATAGATATATCAACAATAAACTATAATAAATAAAAGGCGCAACTTTATCGCCATACATGCTTCTGACGCTAGGTGTGACTTGACTCTGATATCACTTGTTACTTGTTAAGATCAAGATATTATCACTACGTCAATAGCTATAGCTAGTAGCGAAGATGCAACTTTCTTTGTACTGCCACACGTCACACATTTTTGAAATGCTGGGTGCAGATTTAGCCTTTACCGACATCCGCCCAACAATTACAAACAAAATGTATAAATAAAAGGCGCAACTTAACCGCCATACATGCTTGTGACGCTAGGTGCGACTTGACTCTGATATCACTTGTTATTTGTTAAGATCAAGATTATCACTACGCCAAAAGCTATAGTTAGTAGCGAAGATACAACTTTCCTTATACTGCCACACACCAGTGCGCCACACATTTTTGAGATGCTGGGTGCAGATTTAGCCTTTACCGGCCTCCGCCCAACAATTACAAACAAAATGCAGAATATATATGTTACTACTACAATCATGGAAAACATACAATAATGTATATTCCTTCTCTCAATCAGTCTTAGTGGGAGACAAGAAGTGCACTTTGTATGTATTACCCAAATGTGCTCTGTCTCCCTCACTTGCAAAACTGATTTCATTCCAACCCCTAAAACATTTTTATTTCCAAATGTGTAGTTTTGTCTTTTGAAACCAATCAACAGACACATAGGAAAAACACACAAAACAAGCAGAGGAACCCGACAATCTTCATTGTAAACAAATGCACAAAAGTGTGTGTTGTTGGTACATCCAATTACTACTTATACAAACTTTGCATGCTTTGAACTCCAACAATTCTCTAAATAATAGTCTCGGGACATACCTCGGCTAACTCAATACATAATGAATGACGACCAGCCAGTTTCTCGTTAAAAATTGGTTAAGGGAGAAGAAAAGTTCCAAAAAAACTAAGAATTACAAATCTCACAACAAACAATGTAAATTATTCTAGCAGGTCAATAAAATATTCCTTTGAAAACCTTTCATACTTACAAGGTGGTAGGGTAGGGTAGGGGCACTCTTCAATCTTCGTCCAATCTTTGTGGTGCCCACGACATGATATACAATGCACGAGCTATGTCATATGTGTTTTCAGTCCGGGTGGCACCGAGCCCGTGTTGCAGTGAGTGGTCTCATGATGCCGGGGGGCAACTACTTGTAACTTGAACCGACCACTTTCCCAGAAATCGATTGTTTTTCCTTCAAGCTTGAGCCCAACAATGAATCGGAGTTGCTAGTTTGGCTTTCGCCAAAGCCTGGTCGCATCCAAATTTTTATGTGCCCTTCCCGGCAGACAGTAAGAACAGATTCATGGGTGAATATCAAACCGGAGAGAGGCTCGGTGTGAACACGGTGAGTGACCAACGGAGAAAGCTTCGGGACATCCCGCATGCTTGGAGCAGGTTGCAATGTTCCCACAGGGCACGCACTATCCCAATGAGCCGACTGGCTTCCAGTACTAAAGGTCGGAGATCCTCCAGAAGGGCGGCGAACTGGCACCACGAGCTCGTCCATTTCCAAATCCCATAAAAGCAATTGTGTGTCCTGTAAATCAATGGAATCGAATATTACAAAATAGATACGCTTTGATGATGTCAATAACGGTGCACGACTAACTACCTGGCCAACAGAACCGAACCGGTAGACAACATTTTCGCCACTGCCATCTGAATTCGGTACCGACCAATAAGAATCGAACGCCACTCCACTCACCTGTCAGTCGAGACTTAAAAGAATAAGGTCGCTGTAATAACGGAAAAGGAAATAAGAAAAACACATGCTAGATCCGCTATAACTCACCCAAGAATTGTGTCCCTCACCCCACGCAACAACTTTCCGTTCATCCATACTCCAAACTTGTACTAGGTCATCCTCCCCACCGGTCAAAACATATTTCCCATCCATACTGTTGTTGAATCGATTCAATTATTATCCATTCACAAACATATTGATAAGTTAAGTGAACAATGATCTTACCTCCAAGCACAACATAACAAAGCACCATAGTAGCTTTTCCCACCACATATAAGGTGCTCATTTTTGTAGTCAAATATTCGTAGGTAACCTACATTCATTTATAGTTCTCAGTAGTAAATACACTAATATTGAACCAAAGCATCGGAAAGCAAAAGAAAAGAATCGGAGAAATCAAAATTCTCGAGAAAGAGACAATACCATCCCTCCCTACAGTCGCAATAAAGGCCCCATCTGTTGAGAAAGCTATGCAATTTATCGAGCCTTGACAAATATGCCATCTAGCAACAGGGTTCTGCATAAACTACGAAAAATCAATCTAAAGAACAAACAAAAACTTAAAGAACTCAGGAATTGGGAAAAAAGAACAAACGAAAGCACAAATGATACTACCTTACTGTACCGTGCATGAGACACTGAAAATTGAGCTTGATCCTTGATAATTGGAAACGAAGGATCACCAGAACCATCTTTGTTCTGTAAAATAAATCGGATATTGATGCAAATACAAACTTGAAAGTGACAACTAACATGAAGACATCGAGTATATTCCTAGTGATTGTCAGGACTTGCCTTGTCATAGACATAAAAGTTTCCATCTACATGAGCAACAACAAAAGCTCCATCGCTATTAGGCACCCATGCAATACTAGTACAGCGACTGTTAAAAGCAAGGAAAATATTACGTAAAGAACTTCAAACCTTAGACACTAGACTGACTAGGACGGGGAAAATTATAGGCATACTAGTTATCGAATAATAGGTTAGGAATTCAATAGTAGCTGTGGTAGTCAAGATGTTGACTTATTGGGAGAGACCGGTTTCAATGTGTTAAAGAAGTTAATCTACAAAAAGGGTTTAAAGCATTGTTAGAGTTTTACGTGTTGTTAACAGAACCATCTTTGTTATAATGCAGTGCTCCAACAAGCTTTTTTCCAACATCTTGCAATTGTTGCCGCAAATTCACTGAATAGACTGCAAATTCGAAAATAAATATTTAGTTCATATAAGGAAATGGCTTTTCTTGGAAGTTCATTTGAAAATAAAATATATATTTTTTAGTTTTTACCATCTCCGGTATTTAACCCAATAAGCAGATCATGGCCATCCTTTGCGTCTGGGTCAAATGCATGGCAGACAGGGTAGTAATTACCGAAATGAATAGACTTTACGGGATCCTACATTTTAACACGAATCTATTAACATTAATACATACCAGACAAGAAGTTAAGAACCCGAAGCTCAGTGCAGAGGAAACATACCTTATCTCGAGAATTCAAGTCACTGATAAATATTGCATCACCAACATTGAATACCAAGTAAGTTCCCTTGCCA